ACAGATAATGCCTTTTTCCCAGACCCCCACTTCGAGGAGCCAGGGCTGATGGTGAGGGGAGTGAGCGGGACTCCCCGGGACTCTGCCGGGGTTAATCCCTTCCCCCCAAAACGACGGGAGCGGCCTCCCAGAAAACCAGAGCTGCTGCAGGAGGTGAGGGATGAAGCTTGAGGTTGTGCTTTACTGCTCTATAATCCTTTTTTGTCTTTTCTTCATTGTCCTGTTCTCGTCTCTGTGTCCTCACCCCAGATTCTCAGTATTAGTCCCTTTTTGCCCCACACCTCACTCTGGCCCAGGCTCTTCCAGTCCCCGGCCCCCACCTCATTCATGTTTTGTTTCTGGCCTTCCTCACCTTTAGGAATCTTTGCCGCCTTCTCATAGCTCTGGTTTCTTGGGCCCCAAGCCTGAGGGCCCAGGCCCTCAGGGAGAGTGCAGAGATACAGGGACAGAGGCCCTGACCCCCCACATCTGGAACCGTTTACATACTGGTAAGATGGAGTGGTAGCAGGGGAAGGGCTCTGTCAGAGGTCCAAGAGGGCAGCCTCGGGATGGTCTCTCACTTCTGCTGTCTGGTCCTCTTCCCAGCCACTACCCGGAATAGTTACCGGCCTGGCTCCCTGGAGCCCTGGATGGAACCCCTGAGCCCTTTCGAGGACGTGGCTGGAACAGAAGTAAGTGACAATGGGAGGGAGTATCTGAGCTGGGATTCTTCTCCACCTGTTCTGGGTGTCCAGGGCTATGCAGTCACGTAGTTGTGTTATTTGTCAAACATCAGTCAGGTATTGGGGTGCTTTCTACCTTGACTTAACTAATTCCTTCTCCACTCCTCTCAGATGAGTCAGTCTGACAGTGGGGTGGACCTGAGTGGGGATTCTCAGGTGTCATCAGGTCCCTGCAGCCAGCGAAGTTCCCCTGATGGAGGACTCAAGGGGGCAGCAGAGGGGCCTCCCAAGCGGCCTGGAGGCTCCTCACCCCTGAATGCTGTTCCTGGTGAGGGTCCACCTGGCTCTGAACCCTCTGAACCTCCTAGGAGACGGCCACCTGCTCCCCATGATGGGGACAGAAAGGTAAAAAAAAAAAAAATAAAAGAGGAATGTTCTTGAGACTCTGAATTTGGCCCTATGTTTTTCTCCTCCTTCCTGTTCTTGTGTGTCCTGGACATTCCTTCATTTGCCCAAATTTCCTTTACTTCCCCAACCCAGGAGCTGCCCCGGGAGCAACCTCTGCCCCCTGGCCCCATTGGCACAGAACGATTGCAACGTACAGACCGAGGCCCAGAGTCTGGCTCCCTCCGGCCATCCCATCGACCTGGTCCCCCCGTCCAGTTTGGCACCAGTGACAAGGTGTGCATGGGCAGGATCTGAGCACCTTGGGGTGGGTGGAGAGGAGGAAAGGATTGGAGGTGGGATGTGGAGGATATGCATCTTGAGCCACAGAATGATCTCCTTTGCATCACTACCACAGGACTCAGAGTTGCGCCTAGTGGTAGGAGACAGTTTAAAAGCAGAGAAGGAGCTAGCAGCATCAGTCACCGAGGTGAGTGGGGCAATGAGAGCTTGGTGGAAAGGTCTTCAGTTATGGAGATGATGGCTGGGTGTGACCTCGATGGACGTCAGGGAAGCTGACTTTGCTTCTGACCAGTCTTCTTTACAGGCCATCCCCATATCCCGAGACTGGGAGCTGCTCCCCAGTGCTTCTGCCTCGGCTGAGCCACAATCTAAGAACCTGGGCTCTGGGCACTGTGGCCCAGAGCCCAGCTCCTCAGGCCAGCGCTTGTACCCAGAGGTCTTCTATAGCAGTCCCGGGCCTCCCGTTTCCCAGGTAAGTGACCTGCCTGCTTCCTATCCCATGAACCCCTTCTGCCTGCTGTCCCTCAAAATCCGACCTTCCAATTTGTGTAGTTGTAAAACATTATTTATGGTTTTGTTTTTCTACTTGCTTTTACTGTAGTAGGTGGGGTGGGCAGTCTTTTCTTGACCAGAAAAACTGGAGCTATTCCAGCCTTGCCCCTCCCGCAGGTCTCGGGAGGAGCCATAGACTCTCAGTTACATCCCAACAATGGAGGTTTTCGTCCTGGGACACCCTCTCTTCACCCTTACAGGTAAGATTGAATGCCTGTGGATCTCAGAAGGAAATGAACTGTGTTTCAGTGGGGAGGCCTGTTTCAGGGGTACCAGAAGCTGGTAGACTTTTAGCTCAGAACAAAGGAATACGTGATTCTGGCTTCCTGACTCCTTCCTCTGCACCTAAATTTTGCCTCCCTTCAGATCACAGCCCCTGTACCTCCCCCCGGGCCCAGCGCCCCCCTCAGCACTGCTTTCTGGGGTAGCTGTCAAGGGCCAGTTTTTGGATTTCTCTGCACTGCAAGCAACAGAGCTGGGGAAGTTGCCAGCTGGAGGAATCCTGTACCCTCCACCTTCCTTCCTGTACTCTCCAGCTTTCTGCCCCAGCCCTTTGCCCGACCCACCTTTGCTTCAGGTGAGAGATGGGCAGGTGCTGGGCTTCGGGGGTTAGGGGTGGCGAGGGGGATGCTTTTGGGGCAGTTGACATTGCTCCCTGTTGTCCCCAGCAGGTGCGCCAGGATCTGCCATCCCCTTCAGATTTTTATTCTACTCCTCTGCAACCCAGTGGCCAAAGTGGCTTCCTCCCCTCAGGGGCCCCTGCCCAGCAGGTAACTTTTGTCCTGCCACTCACTCTTCATTCTGTTTCTCTATTCAATTTCTGGTTTATTTGTCTGATTGTATTTTTGGTTTTCTGATATTCTTTCCTGCCCTTGACACCCCTCCCTCACCACCTGTATTTCTTATTGTAGATGCTTCTACCCATGGTGGACTCACAGCTGCCTGTGGTGAACTTTGGCTCCCTGCCACCAGCGCCACCTCCTGCCCCACCGCCCCTTTCTCTGTTACCTGTGGGCCCTGCTCTGCAGCCCCCCAGCCTGGCTGTACGACCCCCACCTGCTCCTGCTACTCGGGTGCTGCCTTCACCTGCGAGACCTTTCGCCCCTAGCTTGGGGCGAGCAGAGGTAAGGTACAGGAACTGAAGTGTTAGGGATCTCCCAAGAGCTAGGGGTGGGGATTCAGTATCTCAGGATCAATTGGGTTGAAAGGCAGGAGGCTCATGAATTTTTTTTTCTTTCAGCTGCACCCAGTGGAACTAAAACCCTTCCAGGATTATCGGAAACTGAGCAGCAACCTTGCAGGACCTGGATCATCACGTACTCCCCCATCTGGAAGGCAAGAGGAGGGTGTGGGGATGCAGATTACCCATCCATATGGCTTTCTTAGGGGACCAGGGAGCAGGTTAGGCTTGCCTCAGACACCCTTCTCCTTTAGGTCCTTCTCTGGCCTGAATTCCCGTCTCAAGGCCCCGCCTTCTACCTACAGTGGAGTCTTCCGCACCCAGCGCATCGACCTCTACCAGCAGGTGAAGGAAAGACCCCTGTGGCCCCAAGTCTGAATCCAAGAGTTACCATCTGAATTCCTGTCTTTCCATCCCTGGCATCCCAGTAGGACTTATTTTTGCACATGTGCCTGTTCCCCAGGCCTCTCCACCGGATGCCCTGCGCTGGATGCCGAAGCCCTGGGAGCGGACGGGGCCACCTTCTCGAGAGGGGCCTTCCCGACGGGCAGAGGAGCCTGGGTCCCGAGGGGACAAGGAGCCTGGATTGCCCCCATCCCGCTGAGGGAGTTCCCCTTGCCCCCCACCCCCCGGGGCTTGTATATAGATTATAAATATATAAGGGGGAATGGGGTGGGTGGGGAGGGGTTGTGGGGCTGGGGCCTCGCTTCCCCTCCACCCCCCTCCCCTGGTCCCCTATCCCTGGGGCCGTTTGTTAAAAAAGAGTAATAAAAGGATTAAAAAAAAATTTCTGGAATGATTTTGGGGATGGGTTGGTTTTCGATCTCTTCAGGCAGTATAGTGCCCAGGGATCTGTAGAGAGGTTTTAGGGAATTTACTCCCCCCAGTGATGTTTTAACAAGCTGTCTCAAATCTGTTCTGTTGTATATTGAAGTCTCACAGGCTGGGAAGTAGAGCTGGCCTTCACTGGTGAATGATTCTTATACCATTGAGTGAGGTCTGCTGGCTACCAGTCTGCAGCTGGTGGCTAGGCTGGTGCCACAGGTCTACCGTCGTGTGTCTGGGGCTCTGGTGTTTATCTCAAGGGTAGAAAAAAATCCCACTGGATTGTCAACCAGTGTCTGGTTTGTCCAGCAAGGTGGTAGAGTCCCGGAGATCCCTGGGTGGCTCAGTGGTTTAATGCCTGCCTTTGGCCCAGGGCATGATCCTGGAGTCCCAGGATCGAGTCCCGCATCGGGCTCCCGGCATGGAGTCTGCTTCTCCCTCTGCCTGTGTCACTGCCTCGCTCTCTGTGTCTCTCATGAATAAATAAAATCTTTAAAAAAAAAAAAAAAAGTCCCAGGGCCTGCTACGTCCCTGAGTTAGTGTTCCAAGAGGTCCCAGCGGAAGCTGTGAAGCATATGACCTGGCCTTAGTGTGGCTTTTGCCACACAGTCTCAGCCCAGCACTAAGCTAGCCAACGGGAACGGGACTGCAAGCAGGCGTGTGTCTCAGGAGGGAGCAGCAAAGAATTTGCAGCCTCCATGGTTTTGTTCCAGCTGCAAATGAGGACGTGCCTTTAAAGCTGCTGTGGCTGCAGCAGAGTTCTACCAGTCACTGCAAGTCATGCTAAGAGTGTGTGAAGTTTGCAGCTGCTTAGAAATCGTTTTTCACTGAAACCACTTTTGTCCATCTCTGAACTCCATTTCATTTACATGTAAAATGCTTTTGCATGAAAGTGTGTTCTGAAAACCACTGGGCTGGGCTGCTTGTCAGCATTGTGCTACATGAGCAATGAATATGTGGTAGCGTGCAGCTCCTTACTCGGCAAGGTTGACAGCGGTCTTACACAGCTGGGTTTCTAGGGACTATTATTCATTTTAGACAAGCTTAGAGAAGACAAGTATTTAGATTACTTAGGAAAACTCCGAGACAAAAGAGCCAGGAAAATCTGACTTTTATTCCTTAAATACTGTGAAGGAAGATGGGGGAAATGGTCCCCTGATGAGGGAGAGCCAAAGAGCAAACAGCTAGGGATCATCAGTGAAGGCCCGGTGGGCATTAGGGAAGCGCTGGGGGCTGTAGTTGGGGTCTTCCTGCAGTCGCTTCTGTATATCAGCCCGGAGCTAGAGAGAGAGAACAAGCAGGTTGGAGGGGCACCGGCCAGGGCCCTAGGATCCCAGCAAGCACGTGAGGCCATCCCCTAGGAGCTAGCGCTTCCCACCAGCCACGCTGTCAGAAGCCGAATACGGCATCACTGAGCCTTCCCAGATGCCACTACGGGAAAACTTCAAAGTATCACATAGTAGCCCCAGACTGACCAGTTAGTCTCTGAAGAAATCAGAAAAGAGAGGCCCTGGCCCGACCCCTCCCACTACACCATCCCTATTCTGCTTCAAGGTGGGGGCACCTGCTGCCTGTAGCTCTCCTGAACCTCTGGTGCCTCCAGGTCCCGGCTCAGGCTCTCGGGGCTCGTCAGGGGCCGAGCTCCGGCTGCCTTAGCTGCCCGGCTCACGGCCTCTGAGAGAAGCAGCTGGGGGCCCTCACCCTGCATCGTCTGGGGGACAGGGGGTCGGGAGGGAAAAGAGGATCGACGTCAGATCCAGTGCCAACCACCCAGCTCACCCTTTCCAGGAGCCAACCACTGAGTTTCTAAGCTAGTGGAGAGAAGGGAACTAGTTCACGAGTGGTTCTGACGGCAAAAACACCTCCCTAATTTTATCTGGCTCTGACCAAAACACGACACTTGCACATCCTGGACTCACTCTTCAATACAAGAAGGACAGGGTAAGTGGAGCCATCGGCACTCGGCTAGTCAGTGAGAGGAAGCCGCCTGTGAGGAAGCAGGCCCTCGCCACACAGGGGAGTCAGGCTGTTGAGGGATGACCACACTGCTGGCATATGCTAGCCTGAGGGTGTGCCGCAACCACCACGAGCAAATCAAGTCCCAGGAAGGTTTCCTCACCCCATAAGTGATAGGACAAAAGTAGGAAGAAGTCCTTCCAGCTCTAACTAGTCTGATTCTAACCACCCCGGGGGGGAACTGGATGAAACGAGATCCTCAGGGAAGAGGCAGACCAACCTTGCGTCTCTTGGCAGGCATACCACTGAGGTAGGCATCGCTCAAGGGGGGCTGCGGCTTCACTTTCCGCTGGCTCTGAATGTCCTGCTGGATAATCGGGACCCACTCCTGTGGAGGGAAAGAGGACTAGGAGCTGGCGCCACGTCCAGCTACCCCTGGTGCTCCAGCTCTCCTCCTGACACTTACTGGGGGGACGGCAGCTGCCCAAGGCTCAGTCTCAGCTGCAGCTCCATCCTGCTCTTCATGAGAGCCGCTGCTGCCGCCCTCAGGTGCAGGAGGGGGCCCTCGAGACATGGCCTCTTCGGCCGTTGTTCCTGGGGCCGGGGAGGCATTCTCCCGCTGCAAGTTGGAGCGGGAAAACGTGGGCTTCAGCATCCCCAGCCTCCAGCCCTTCCACCCTCAGCCCTCCCCGCCACCTTATCTGGCCCCTCAACCTCTCCCTGGTACCTGAGGCTCAGGGGAAGTCCTCTCTGATCCCTGAACTTCCATCGGCTCCTCAGGAAGTGGCTAGGAAATCGGACAAAGAAGCAGAAGAGCAAAAAAGGCCTTCTCAAGCCTCTCCGTCCCTGCAAGTCCCCTGACCGCACTGCCCATCCAGGCCCTTACCTGGGGTGGGTCGCCGACCCTGCGGACGTATCTGAGGATGGCATCGGGGCCCACAGGCATGTGCTCTAGAACCACCTGAAGCCTCAGCCCCATCATAGTAGTCAGCCAGCTCACCAGGGATGGGTTCACCCCACGAGACATGCGACGCTGAGGGCAGAAAGCAGCCTTGGAACACAACACCCTCAACCAGCTTTTGAAAAGTATCAAAGGTAAAGGACAGCAATTTGGAGAAGACAAAACAAGAACTGCAGGACAGCAGAGAGAACAAAGGCCCGGGGGCTGTGCGGTGCTTACTATCCGGCCATTGATGACAGCAGCAAGTTCCATCTGCTGGCCCCCCAAGCAGTGCAGGTTGAGGGCCAGGCACTCAAACAGGCCCTGGTTACACAACTCCAACAAACGGGCCCCAAATCCGCTGTCTGTGGACAAGACAAGGGGTGAGGATGCTGGCAGTTGGCACCCCGCGCCTCGCACCCCCGGCCCTGTGCGCCTGGCCGCCCTCACCTGTGCAGTGCAGCACGTGAGCAGCAATGCTGTTGAACTGCTCCTGGAGAAACTCCAGGTTGGTCCGGATGATGTCCACGCCAGGCTGAACCTGCACCAAAGACTGAAAACCAAGACACACGGAGACCCCCAAATCAGGGAGCCTGGAAGACTACATTAGCTCCGAGGCGGTGGGAGGAACGGCAGCTACCCTGGCCCCCCGGGAGATGAGGAACTCACGAAACTCTCCCGCACGTATTCTTCCAGCCCCGTGATCAATGTGTGGGTCGCCGTCTAAGGAGGAAACAGCAGGAGTTCAGATCCCCCACCCTGGCCTTTGAGACATGCCCTCCCCTCCACCTCCAGTAAGTGCAGGGCTCAGACTGGAGCGATCGGCGCTTTAGATGACGGAGTGGAGTCAAGAAAGAGAAGCTGAAGAGGAGCATGTGGCGGCCCCCGGCCTTCATTTACCCGTATGTTACCGGGTGTGGGCTCTTGGCCACCCAGGTAGTGCTGGTGGAAAAAGGACCGCAGCTGGGGCTGGAGCCGCTGCAGTGGCTGGAAATGGCCGTGAAGAAGCATCACCACGTCCACCATGGAAAAGTTCTGGCACAAAAGAGAAAGCAGGGCCCCGAAGAATCCTAGGGACAGAGGCCGAAGTCAGCAGTGGCCTTTACCCCCTGCCCGCGCACCACCAACCCATCGACCTCATCCAGCTCCAGCAACACTCCTTGACAAAGGTCATCAATCTCCCCTCCCTGGAGAAGACCAAGGCACCCTCGATGGCTCACCAAGGGCCCCATCTGCCCCAGGCTCGAAGATGTTACTGGATCCGCTGAGGCGCTGGATGAAAGCAGCGATGCTCTCACTGCTGCCGGCCCGCGCCCCTAGGGAGCCCAGCAGGGAGTTCAGCACACCCTGCACCACGGATGTAAAAAACTCCGGTGAAAGGCTCTCAAGACCCAGGCCTCCAGGACTCCCTGTGCCACCAGAAGGGGACCCTGGTGGGGGCACAGTCTGCTGCTCTGGCGCTGGGGGTGGGGGCGGCGGCGGCGGCGGTGGAGGGGCTGTCTGTGCTGCCTGGCAAACAGAGAACACACAACAGAAGACAAGGTGAAAACGGGGACGAGACACCAGAAGGGCACAGGCTGAGAGAAGCCCAACAGGAGAGCCCCACTGTGCTCTTTCCTCCCTGGAGCAAAATGAACACATGTGGTGACACAGCAGCAGACTTAGGTGGGGCTCCAGCCCCTCTCCCCCTGAACGCATTAGGTTACAAAGCAGCAATGCCAGGTACTATGCCCTCATAGCCTCAGCTGCTGCTTCTCCCAAATGGGGATAGGTGGGGAATCGGAATCAATGAAGTCCCAGGGCTCCCTCCCATCGACAGGCCACCAGGGGCCGTAGCCCAGCAGCAACATCACAGAAACAAGGCACCAGCACCTGGCTGGGCCAGCAGGTGTGGGGGGGAGCCAAAGAGCAAGCCAGCCACTCACCTGCAGAAAGTCAGTCATGCCCTGTAGAAAGGCGGGGACGCCGGGCATGGCCACGGTGATGGTGGGAGAAGCCATGCCAGGCCCGCCAGCCCCAGGCCCTGCTGGCCCCAGCAAGTTCCCCAGGAGCTGAGAGAACTGCAGGTCGGCGGCCGAGGGCTGAGGGGGAGGAGGCTGGGCAGGCCCCCCGGGAGCAGGGCCAGCTGTGGTAGCGGTGTTGGTAGTGCCGGCACTAGCTGAAGCAGTGGCAGGGGCTGGAGGTGGAGCCATTCCTGGGGTCCCCTGAGCTGGAGAGACCAAAAGAGAAAAGCTGAACTCTGTAGAGAAACGAGACACCACAGCATCTCATTCTGGTCTTGTCAGCAGGAAGGCAAGGAAAAAGGATCTCTGGAGAAAACTGGGAAGCGCTCGTCAGGAGACTGAGGAGCACCAGCCTCCAGGGTGGTGGACATCCCTTCAGGTTGAGACGGGCCAGAACAAGGACTCACCCACCAGAACAGGCTGCATCAGAAGCTGCCCCACAAGGCCGCTCACCATCTGGGCCAGAGAAGCATTGGTACCTAGCCCGGCACCCTGCTGGAGGGAGACAGAAACGGCTTTCAGTCCTGCCCTGCCCATTCCCCACGAGGATTCTTTCCCCAGACTCCTCCCAACGAGAGCTCCTCCATCCTTACTCACTAGAGTACCCGAGACGGGGGGCCCCCCAGGATGGGAAGGCCGAGCCTGTGGAGGGGTGGGCCGGGCAATCACCACCCGGGTCGGAGCCGTGGGGAAGCCTGGCACCTGCTGTCCTGTGGGTGGCAGAGGGGAGACCGAAGAGGGCTGAGGGCCGGGCCCTGGCCTGCTAGCCGACAGCACCCGCCACCATGGACTGTGCCCCACCTCCCAAGCTTCCCCTTCCAGGTTATTACCTGCGGCCGCGGAGGCAACAGCTGCCACCATGGCCTGATGAGTGATCTGGTGGGCGACGGCGTGCATGAACTCAGGGGGCAGGGAGGGCAGCTGGATGAGGGTGGAGCCTGGGGGGCGGGTCTGATGTAACCTTGAACCTGGACCCCCTTCAACCCACCCAGTCGGCCCTACCCCTTCTCTACCCAGAGCTCGGCCTGCTCTGATACCCTCACTCTTACCCAGGGTCTGGCCATGACCAGGGGGTCCTAGGGGGCCAGTGGGAGCACTCGGAACTCCACCAGGCTGTGTGCCAGAATCTGGGCAGGGAGACAGAGAGAGTGGCCCTGAGGCAGGCGGCGCCAAGGCTTAACCACATCCTCCTGTGACCAGCATCCTGCTGGCCCCTGCTGGCCCCATGAGAAAGCCTGCTTTTCCCTCCACCTAGAAGGGAGGAAGCACTCCCTTCGCCACGCAAACAAACCTGCAGGGACAAGCAGTCCCTCCTGCCCTTCCCTGCACATGTGCACTCAAGCTTCTGTCCTGGTTCCTCTGCTCCATCCCCACCCTCGCTCTCTCACATCTCTGTGCCAACCCACCTCCCACATCATGCTGCTCTTCTCTACCGACAACCAACCCTCATTCACCTTGGATATTCATGTGCATCATGACCACGGGTTCCACGCTCTGGTGGGAAATTCGGATGACCCTCGGGTGACTGGTGGTTGGGGGGGAGCTGGCCCTGGCGGGGGAGCCCCCTCGGTTGAAGACTCGACAGTGGTAGAAGTGGGAGCCAGGGACGAGGCCTGCCCAGGACCAGGGGGAGCTGCCTCCGCATTGGCAGTTGGGGGGGGCCGAGTCCCATTCCCCGTCATGGTCACAGTGGTTCCCACATTGATCTGGAAGAGACAGATGCAGGAGGCAGAAATAAGTAAAACAAGAGCTTAACCCAGAGCATCCCGAGGTATACTGCTGCAGTCTCCCCGTTCTCCACCACTTTGTGTTTCCGAGGTCTCTACCCCTTCTAAATTCAAGCCTGACAGCTACTCTGGGTCATTCGCCATCTCTCCAAGGCTCCCTGGACCCACCTGGATGGGAATGGCTGCTTGCTGAAGCACCATGGGGGTAGTGTAGTGAGACATGGGCCGGACCACATGCAGGTGTCGTGGGGGCGCACAGGCCAGATTGCAGCGCAGGTCAGACAGCGCCACGAAAGTGTTACCCAGCAGCCGCAGACTCTCCCCCACCAAGTTGATCAAGCGCTGGTCCTCTTCCCGGCCCTCTTGCTGTAACCCCCAGGGCCGAGGACAGGAAAGCAAGACATATTAGGTTGCAATAAACCTTGACGACAAAAGTAGGTAACACCCTTGAAAAGCCCCATACTCTCTATCTCTATACCTTCAGCTATAGCTTTGGAAGCTTCCAGGTAGACCGGTCTCGGCAAATAACTTCTATATCAAATATGCAGAAAGTTCCCTATTACAACAGGCCTTACAGAAAATCAGTACAGCATCATCTACTAACCTCCCTCACTCTACCTAAGCTTCCTGAGTAATTGAATCGAGGAATCAAGAGACAGAAACAGTAGATTTACGCAAAGATCATCACCTTCCCTATACAAGAGAACACGTCATTTACTCACAAGTCTGTAGAACTGTTTTGTTGCAGACAGTATTTTTTTGGAAGAAAGGGTTAGATGTATTTCTGCCTGTTCCATGTGGGACACAACTGGGGGTGAGGGGGTGGGTGGCACTCACGTTATTGTTGTAGTCCGTGGTGGCAGCAGTACCCAGAACCTCGTAGTAGCGCTGCAAGAAGGGCTGAAGGCGGCTCTCAAGCCGCTGTAGCTCCTGAAGCACTTCGACATACTCCGCAGGGGAAGGATGGCTGTGGGCAACCCCAAGAGGCAGTGAGCCGAGGCTTTCCTTAGATCCCCAACCTCCAAGCTGACAGGCTACACCTGCCCTGTCCCTCTGCAGCCTCCCAGACCTCTGGCCCCATCCCTTCTAGCACTAGCAGAACATCTATCCTTCACCTGCACCCACGGGAAGACAAGAAGAAAAATAATTGCGTCTGTCTTTCTTGCCGCATAATCCCATCCCTACGATGGCAAGAAACTTAACTCTCAGAAAAGAACATAATCTATGTGAACACAGGGGAGAGAACCTTGATCGGGCTCAGGAAACAGCATCTGTATTTCCTCAGCCCAGAGAGAAGAGCTTCTGGCTCAACTGCCACCCCCAACCTCATTCAGCTGGTCCGGAACTCTCTCTGCCCTGCCATGCTAACCCCACAGGTAAGACTGCCCAGCAATTCTCTTCTCCTATCATACCCTTCCTGGTTCTCACACTTCACTTAGGACTCCCAACCACTCTCCCAGAGGGTCCCTCTGGTTCTCACTTGGGTGCATTTGTCTCTGGGGCAGGTGTTGGGCCCACTGGGGCTGGGCCAGAAGGGGTGAGTTCCGGGCTCTGGGCTGAGGCACGCTCCTCCACTTCTTCTGCCTCCATAGGCTCCCGAGGAGGCACTTCACTCTCAACTGCTTCTGATGTTTGAGAGCTCAAGGCTACTGGCTCCGGGGCCACAGCTGGCGTCTGGGGGGGCGGCTGACTATGCTGTGCTTGGGGTGCCCCTCGACACTGAAGTGGAGAGATTCAGGATACCAGAGGAAGAGGAGACTGCTGCAGATTACTCAGGTCAACACAGAACGAGTGGAGAAGGAACTCTAACTAGGCTCCCTGAAGGCAGGGCTTTGCACTGGTCTGACTCCCTAGCAACCACTGCAAAACTTTTAACAAGACACATAATAAATAGCTGTAATACTTAAGGGTTACTAACAAAATAGAAGAATTGTGGTTCCCTAAGCTTCCACAAGAAGAGTAAAAAATGTCACAAGCTACAATCACAACACAAACGAATGGAATTGGGCCATCTCAGCTCAAATATGCTAATTAAGAAACTATAATTGAGAAAAGATGCCATGATAGTTATCTGACCAATGTGAAATAAACTTCCCAGATACCAGGCACCCAGAGGATTGGCAGGAACAAGATAGCCCAACAAAGATACTTTTTCACCCCAAAGAGTGAAGACTGAAGAGACCAGATTAGGCAGGAAGAATCCAGCTGATATGGCCAGTCATGCCTTCGCCACCAGGTGGACACAAAACCATTAAGAGAGAATGAAGAAACGGACAGACCCTAGCCAGCCTTGCCCACTGACCTCCATCCGGGATAGTAAGGTTTGTATATCCCTGATCATGTGTTGAGCCATCACCAGCCGTACTCGGGCTCACTCTACGGTAAAAGAAGTACAATCAGGGTACGTCTGAGATGAAGCCATGCACTCTACCACCCACTGAACCAGGGCCGAGTGGGCTCCTCACCAGGTCCACCCCACCTTATGGCCTCCTTCTCCCAGATCCCCTTCCCTGACCCTCCCAGGCCCGTGATACCTGAATCGGGGCCTGTTCCATGTTGATGTGAACATCCACAGCAGAGCCGTCACTCTGGGAAAAGGGTAAGGGAAGTTGCTCTGGGAGAAGCCAAATACTAAGGCCCCCACACCTCCAACTCATTCTCTGGAGCCCCACCCTTTTTCTCAAAGACTGAGGCTGTATCAGACCGCAGGACCCTGGAAACCCAACCTAAAGACCAAGACACCTTTCTTATGAGCTCTCTGCTATTACCACAACCAAACCACCCCTCCCCACAAAAGCTGTACTATGTGGAACACAAGCTTACAGGAAGGTTAAAGGTTCCAACCATGACATAGCTGTTGGCATTCCGGTCATGAACAGAGGCCCCAGACCCCCGAGTACCAGGCGGGGGTCCTCCACCATGAGTGGCTGAGGCAGATCCTATCCCAGAAGATGCCCCAGAAGGGAGCGGAGTCTGAGGAGGAGCCCGTTCCACCAGGTGAATAACCTTTCCCCCAACATCTGCAGGAAAAACACACACACACACACACACACACACACACACACCAAAGCATTATATAATCAGGTAAGACCAATGCCTCAACTCATCTCTCTAGACAGCTGCCTCAACAACCTCTGAACTGCCTCCCCCAAACTCTTACTGTATTCCTGGAGCTTCTTATCATCCTGCAGAACTCGTCCCTGATAAATGAGCCGTTGTTTCTCAGAGGGAATACTAACAGAGGCAGCAATGTGCTCTTTAAACTCCTTTACATTCATCTACAAGGAAAAAGAGACAAAAAACTAGCAGCGATTGGAGGAAAGAGAAGTACAGAAGGGGAACAAGTGACTTTTGGGAGTGAGGGGTAAAAACCACTCAACCATAAAATCGCTACCCATTTGTCTTGATTGTGAGGTAATTATCATGCAAAGCCCCAAACTAAGACATTTTAACACCTGTCAAAACAGACAATAAACATTAACAAAGTTCAGATTATGTGCCCAGAGAAAATTATGTGGCTGAGAAACAGAAATACTGAGTGACATACCCTTCTCTCCCCGCTCCCAAAGGAATGTGTCTACAGATACCAATGACCCCTCCCCAAACACAAAATGATACAACTCTGCAATCTCAAAGACAAATGCAATGATAAGGAAGCGGGAGTAGAAAATCAAGAAAGGAAGGTTCAACAGAGCAGAAAGAAAAGAGCAAACACTTTCCTAACTGTAGTAGTGATTCTTGGGAAGCACCAGTTTTTACATACATCTAATCACAAAGACCTATATGATTTTTTCTATATATTTTAAAAGCTATGGACCAACCCCTCATGATTTTGTCTCAAAATATCACAGGAATTAATGGCATAACCAGCCATGTCTGTGGCGCTAAAAACAAAAGATTCAAATTATGCCACACACACTAGTGATTCCGCTCAGCAGTGTGTTAGAGTTCTACCTGCATTATAGGCTCTGACTTCTAGCCTTTAAAGACATAAAACAGACCTGACCAATTTTTAAGACTCGAGTTTTGGATCTCTGTTCTGTTTCCCTTCCCAAAGGCAGGAGCCATGTCTGTCCTCTTGGGCTGGGGTTCACTCATGATGCTGGCATACATATTTCTCCCTCCGTATTTCCCTCTGCACTGAATTCTTTCAAGGTGGGAAAAGGCAGAACAAAATCTGCCTCATTCGACAGAATCCATTCCTTCTCCCTCAACAACAAACACCAGAAAATGTCCTATCTAGAACGTGAACAAAGGAACCAATGAAGTAAGATTTAAGGACCAAAGAAATTCGGTTCTCTCAGGATAACAGACCTACAACAGAAAGAGTTAATGGGTGTCTTCCAAAAGTACTGGGGTCTCACCTGGGCCCCCACAATAAATGTCCGAGTCTGAGAGTCCAAGGTCTTCACCAGCACCTCCAGGCTGTCAGGCTCCTCCATACTGGAAGTGGTACTGGTACTATCAGTGGGCTCCATCGCAGATAGATCTCTAAAGAATAGAGGGAGGGAAGCCTCCTGTCGCCCAGAGCTGATTTTATATACCCGGAAGCCTCACCGGCTTGAGTCTCCGCCCTAATACCTGAAGAGTTTCTCCCGCACGAGCCTACACACTCACACCCGCCCCCATTCCCCTTCGGATTCCGAGGCACCAGGAGAGAAACACAAAGGGCAGGAGATCGACGGCACAGGGAGCTGGAGGACGGGCAGATGGGAGGGGCTCCGCAATGCCAATCACAATAAGGGAGGGTCAGTCAACTGGGAAGCCGGCAAAGTAGGAAGCAGGAGACTCGTGTCATCACCAGTCGCGATACGACAAAGGCCCCAAAGGTCGGCAAACCCCGGGGAGCACACGCGAGCGGGGGAGGGGGGGAGTCGCGCCAGATTTTGCGGAGACAGTGGTTTCGCGCACGCGCGCCACGCCACGCCCACCGAACCCGCCTAAATCACGACAGACCCGAAATGACGGCCACGCACGGGGGGCCAGATTGGCTAGCTGACTGCCCCCCTCTTCCGCCTGCCCTCGATGCTCCAGTAGAGCGGCGCGATCAACACACACCGCACACACACATACACACAAGCCCCACCGCAACCCACACCACCACCCCGGGCTCCGCCCCCGACTTCCCCACGGTACCGTCACTTCCGGTCTCCCCCAACTTGCCACCGATGGTCACTTCCGTTTCCCCGATAGTATTTGGGGATCGCAAGGCGGTACTTCCGGCTCCCCCCAGGTCCCGAAGTTTTACTTTTGTTGGGAACGATGAGGAAGTTCGCGGCCCCAAACAGTGAGTTCCTTGGGGCCAGACGGGCCGGGGCCGGCCTGGATGGGAGGGAGCCGAACACCCCGAGGAGCCACCGCCACCGTCGCCCGGGGGACCGTACTGCGCCTGCGCGCGTCGCACTACGCATGCGTACGTACACCTTTAGGCACCGCCCAACCCCCCCGCTAACGTTGTTCTTGTCTGTGTACGCGCTTGAGCGGTAGGTGGTTGAGGTGGCTACTTTAAATGCCTGAAAATAATTACCAGGTGAGAGACTATGTTTCAAGACGCTTGGGACAGTTGTGTGCCCCTAGCGGTTTGGCGACTGGGGATTATGCCTCGTGAATCTCTGTTAAAGTCTTGGCCGGCCGAGAATTTGAGGCGGCACTGCGCTGGCCTCCTAAAATTCTGTCTTCAGCGCCTCCGGAAGTCCTCCTTTCTCTAGGCAGTTGGAGGTGGTTCGCGAGCAGCCGGGGCGTGCCGCCGCGTGGTTGGGGCCGACCTCGGCGCTGCGTGGTGGGCGTTTGGCTGGACGCGGGCGCCATGTTCCTCGGTGGCAGCGTGCGGCCGTGGACACGCCATGTTGTGGAGCAACTACGGATTCACTGCTTCTCAGGACTCTCCTCAGAAAAGGCGCCTCCGAGTTTGGGAATTGGAAAGGAGTGGAGTTGGACTGGGCCGAAACACAGGATTCCGGCCCTGGAGCACTGAAGGGGCCACCGAAGGGCTTCCGCAGGCCGGGGTCCCCCGGCGGACTGGGCAGTGCTCACCGCCTGAGCCCCCAACCTCGGCCTCGGGTAGGCCTGCCTGCCTCCCTCCCGGGCCCACGGCCTTTGTGGGCCTGTCGTTCCTACTCGATTCCCAGTACTGTTTCATAAGAGCCCTAATAAATAATTGTTTAGCGAGCACTTGGTTTGTAACAGGAATATACTCAGGGCTTTGCGTACTGTCCTGTTTAAAAGCCTTTCAATACCGGAGATGGTCATTAGGTCCATTTTATAGGTGAGTACACTTAGGCAAAACTAAGGCAGAACCGACAAACCCAGGCCTACCAGACCCCGGGTCAAGCACGTCTACTTTACTGCCCCAATAAATTACTGTATTTTATATATATTTGCTTCTTACTATAAGAAATGGCAAACATTTAAAAAAAAAAAAAAAGGCAAACATTACTCCCAGATGTTATAATGAGCCCTGGTATACCCGTTACCCAAATTTTCTTTTAACTAAATCACAATCCCATAACAAACCCTACCACTCAGAACAAATTGGCAGTCTGTGGTTTATACATAATCTATTAGGAAGCCCCATCTTTCATTGCATTAACTGCCCCACCCCCTTGGCACTATCAAATGACTGCTTCTTGACAACTATTTTCTTGCTATTTGAGAACCTGGAGCCAACCAGAAACTATAAGTGCCTTTACAAACATTAATTAGAGCAAATATTTCCTTCGGATTTAACAATAGGCAGGCCCTTGCCAAGGGCTTTATGTGCATAATCTCGTTTAATCCTGTGAGATTGACGATTTGGTCATCAATGAAACGAAAATGAAAAAAAAAAGGCACTGAGATTAATAAAACTGCAAGATCTAATACATAGTGGAGTTAGGGTTTGCACCCACTCTGCCTAATAACCAGTATCTTCTAACCCTTAACATCATGTAGTCTCTTCTAATGATAAACGTTAAGTGAGTGAACTTTTCTCAGGGGTGTATATACTGTTTCCCCAGTTACTTCAGAAAGAAGGCCTCCCATCCACTAGGCCCCAGCACCTGGTTCATACCTGTTTTAAAGAACTTACCAGGCTGTGTACTGCAATGATTTGTTTTGTTTACTCAGCTAGTTTTCTTTTTACTGCTCTCAAGGCCAGGGACTGTCATTCATTTTTGTGTCCCTAGGGGCTTAGCTGGCACACAGCTGGGCCTCACAACTGTCTGCTAAGTGAATGAATGAAAGAATCAGTCTGCCTCTTTTCAGTGCTATACAACTGAGCAGATACCCAGCTCGGATACAGGTTGAAGGGCCACAGGCTTCTACCTGGAGGGCTCAGCTCCCATTAATTCATAAGAGATTCTGGACATGCCAGGGTGTATTATGGAGTGATGGCATTTAGAAGAGGGGGAGGAAGGCCTGAACACTGTAAGTAATCTATGATTGGGTTGGAAAACAAGGTTGAAGTTACTCATTAGCAGGTGAAAGGGTCAAGGGTCAAGGCAAGGGGGCTGGAAGCAGAGTGGACTAAGTAACAAGAGGGTGGGGGGAGAGCAGTTAAGGCACCAGCCACTTCACGAAGAGCACCAGCTCCCTGCTACCTGAAGATGTTCCACCAAGTATGGGCAGCTCTGCTCCATCTCTTTGGTATTCTCCTTAACTCCATCTACCAGTGCCCTGAGTACAGTCAACTGACAACTCAGGGAGTGGATGGGAAAGAGGTATGGACTGAGAATGGGGAACGCTGATGGTGGGAGCTCTGAGGGACTTGAGTGGGTGGCCTTGGATGACCAGAAGCCATGCTGGGAACGAAAGGGAGAAAGGCCATTGAGTATCGTGATAATGAATGCAAGAACAAGTGAAAAAAAAAAAAACAGTACTGTGGCCATCAATGTGGAAACACGGTAGAATTGGGGGCTGGGTGGTTGCTCAGGTTGATTGAGAGGGCTACAAAGGAAAAATTGCTTAATGACTCCATGTCATAACCCACCCCTAGTCAGAACAAAGCAGCTGCCACGCCACTCCTCTAAGTCTTGCTGTCTTAAGAGTAAAGATGAAGAGGTTGAATGGGCCCTGTGGTGGGGACCCACCCTCTTCTGATCCCCTCATTCTCTGCAGTTCCCAGAGCCACACCTGGGCAGGTGGTACTTCATCGCAGGGGCAGCTCCCACCAAGGAGGAGTTGGTGACTTTTGACCCTGTAGACAACATTGTCTTCAACATGGCTACAGGCTCTGCCCCCATGCAGCTCCAGCTTCGTGCTACCATCCGCATGTGAGTGATGAGGCAGGGGTACCAGGAGGTGCAGTCTCTGCCCAAAATATGAGCACCCACCCACCAAGAGCTAGGCTCTTTGGGATATCCACTGTTTTTGGCCCACTAAGTTCAACAATTCTGTTAGTTTCCCTCTGAAAAGAGATGAGCCTACCCAACCATCCCTTGGTAGTTTGAAACTTCAGAGAGAAATAAGATGGGATAAATAGAGGCTGGTACTGTGTGGCTGGGAGGTCACTGTCTTTTGTCTTTGCCACCGCTTCTGCAGGAAAAATGGACACTGTGTGCCCCGGAAATGGATCTACCACTTGACTGAGGGGAGCACAGATCTCAGAACTGAAGGTTGGTGTACTCCAGCCTTCACTCTCCCCATGTCCCCTGGGCTTGCTTGGTTTTGCATCTCTGTCCTCACACTTTCCCCCCAACAGGCCGCCCTGACATGAGGACCATGCTCTTCTCTAGCTCATGCCCCGGTGGAATCATGCTGAAAGAGTCAGGCCACGGTTACCAGCGCTTCCTCCTCTACAGTGAGTGGGGATGCCAGACAGGAAGGGTTGGAGAGAAACACAGGAGGGCGGAAGAGCCTCTCACTCTGGGCCTTATGAAATCATCCCAGGAAGGACTGGGTGCTTCCCCTCACCAGGGCAGTGCTGAGAAGCTGGGACTTTGATGGGCCTGGCCCTGCCCCTGCCCTGCTCTTCCAGATCGCTCACCACACCCTCATGAGACATGCGTGGAGGAGTTCCAGTCCCTGACCTCCTGCCTGGACTTTAAGGCCTTCTTACGGACTCCCAGGAATCAAGGTAAGGGGGTAAAGTCCCACAGAAGAGGACTAGGACTCACCAAGTCTTCTGCAGATGCTGGATGAAAGGGACTCAAGTGATGTCACTGGAGGGCAGGCCAAAGGCTGACATTATTAGAGTGGCTGTGCTGACACCTCCATTTGTGTCATAGGCTGTGATGGCACCAGAGGATGTGGCCAACAGCTGTGATGTCACCTGAGGGAGCCAGGATGGGCTCTGGGCTACTCAAAAGAGAGGTTCCTGAGTTTGTGGTGGATAAAAGGAGCGGGGGGGGGGGGGGGTCAGACATGGGGAAAAAGACCTCAGAGACCCCTTCTTTGATGTGGGGAAGAGCAGAAATTCATTCTCCTCTACCCCACCATCACCAACCTTGCTTTTTTCCCTGGAGTTCCTTCCTTTCCATTCTCTTCTTTTCTCCCTCCTCCCACCAGAGGCCTGTGAGCTGTCCAGTAACTGACCTGTGGCTTCATCTGTGCCCCAGATGGATATGGTGAGAGCTACAGTTGTGCTGGGGGAAGGAGAAGCTGGAGACTCCCAACTCCCTTTCAAGAGTAATAAAGATGATTTTTCAATCCTCATCTCATTTCGGGTTTGTCTCCAGACATCAGTCTTCCCCACCTCTATCTCAGTACTTCCTTGCACTACCACCTAAACCCCCTGCTGGACAGCCGTCAGGAAATGACACTGAGTGGTGGTAACTCTCTTTGTAGTGGTATATTTAGGATTTGATGTGACACATTTATTGCTGACTGTGCAAACACCTAGTCCCAGAGTGGGAACTCCAAGCTCCAGTTCTTCCCCATACTGCCTGTCTGAACTGCCAACCCCTCTGAATCGGTCCTCCTGCCTATACGACCTGCACCATCCCCACTGGATCTCCTGGGAAGATCCAGATCCTTCCTGCAGGCTCCTAATCACTGTAGGCCCCTATCCACACCCCTTAACCCACCTGCCTCAGTCCCATTCTTCCCTAGATGGCTTAGATCCTAGGATCCAAGGGATCCCTTGGGTCTCCAACCACCCTCTTACCCTAGTCAGAAGCCTTTCTGTCCTGCTTCTGGTCTCCACCTCTGGGTAGTTTTGAAAGGTAAAGATGACTCTTTAGTCTTTATTTTTCACCACTATGCTTTTTTTTTTCTTTTAAAAAGTAAAGGTGGAAAGAATAAACGAAATGGGAGAAATGTAAAAGCAAGAAGTAACAACAGCTGGTGAATTCAAGGGCCTTATCCCCATTGTA